GTTCAGTGTCAGGTTCTGGATCAGTGTCAGGTTCTGTACATTGTCAGGTTCTGTACATTGTCAGGTTCTGTACATTTCAGGTTCTGTACAGTGTCAGGTTCTGTTCAGCTTTACCTGTTTGGTGTTCCTGGGTACCAGCTCAGCTTAGCAGGAGATGAAAAACGGATTGTGCAGTCTCACTTGAAGGCAGTAATATTATCTGTTCTGAAAACAGAATTTTTGGAGCATGAAGAGCTGTTTTTGAATGATGCTTCTGGCACCTAACCCTGAAAATTATTCAGCATATTTTTCTCGTGTCTGTCTTGAAGTGAAAAATTATCTTCTGTTTTCAAGTCACTTATAACTTCTAAAAATTGGGCTAAAGTTTTCAGAGAGATTTCCAAAATTATGCAATATATTAATATAAGTTTCTGCCTAATAAAATTCCTCTGAGACAGCTGAATAATCACTGATGTCACCAGAGTTCACACGAGGCTTTTTAACATTTGCATCTCTACATTTCTTGCTACAGAATCTGCCAGCCTTTGGAAAGAGCAGGGAGCTTTTTGAGCTGTGCTGGATGTTATGCCTGGGCTCAGTACATTTCATCTTTTCTGGTGCCACAAGACGGAATTTTTCACCTGCTGGGGCATGACGTTACCATGGCAACAGCTGATCTTGTTTGCCGTTCTCTGCTCTTTGTGCGTGACAAAAAGGAAAAGCTTTTTGAGGAGCATCGGGAGAGGCGATGTGCCCAAATGTGCCCAAATGTGCCCAAATGTGCCCAAATGTGCCCAAATGTGCCCAAATGTGCCTGGTGTGCCCCGTGTGCCCAAATGTGCCCGGTGTGCCCCGTGTGCCCAAATGTGCCCAAATGTGCCCGGTGTGCCCGGTGTGCCCCCTGTGCCCCATGTGCCCCATGTGCCCGGTGTGCCCCCTGTGCCCCATGTGCCTGGTGTGAATGTGCTGGTGATTTTAATTTGTTCTGTTTCGTTTGTTCTTGTTTGCCACCAGAGAAATCGAAGTGAGTGGGAAACGTGGGTGAGAGGTTTCTAATGAGTTACCACAAGGTGTGAGGGGAAATTCCTGCATGTGCAGGAACCACTCAAACCACGCTCTGCATTTGAATTGCTTTAGAATATTTGGTGTAATATTTGGTTTGACCTACAAAACTGAGTTAGATCTTTAGCTCATCCTTTGGGCTCAAGGTAAAAACCCAATTTTCTCTCAACTGGAGCTGTAAAAGAAAAGATCTGTAGGACAATGGTAAAATGAAAATACTTGTTCAGGGGAGATTGGGGAATGTCCCCCCCAGACTGTGCCAGCTTCACAGCAGCTTGCAAAAGGAGTTAATGTTTAAACCACACCGTGTTCGCTGCCTTTGTGCCTTCCCACCAGGGCAGGGACGTTGTTCATTCCTTTCTCCCTTAGCAGTGGATAGCTTTTCTTTCCCTTGGCTGTGATTTGTGGGAGGAGGCACAGTGCTATGCTGAAGGACAACTCTGTATTTCAGAAACACAGATTATTTTAATGTGTTGAGGAGTGTAAAAATCATTGAAAGAAGAGCCCCTGAAGAAATGTTGGTTTTGCTTCAGCCCACAGATCCAATTGATTCACTTTCTAATGCTGTCCTTCCTTCAGCCATGGCAGGTGCAAAAGTGATGTCCTGAGGAGAACTTGCATGTTTGGTGCTTCACTGCAAGGAGCTGCAGCTGTTATTTACCAGGGGATGCTGCCATAAAACCACTGCTCCTGGATGTGTCCAAAGTCATCTCCTCACCCATTTCCATCTCCAAAAGAGCTGAGAGGCCTCTGTCATGTTTGTGCTGAGTGCCAGGGGTGAAGAGAATTAGGAGGAGAAGTGAAGAGACTGAAAAGTAAAGTAGAGAAGTGAGAAATAAGTGATGAGAGTGAGGTGGGGAGTGAGCTGAGCAGCTGTGAGGGATGGCTGGGTGCTCTGAGCAGCAGCAAATCCAACCCAGCTCCGTGAGATCCTCAGCTCAGGGAACCTGCCACGAGCTCAGGTGGGTCTGATGCTTCACCTGTCCGGGGAATGGCAGAGAGAGGCTGCCTGGAATGAGCTGGGCTTGTTCTCCTCAGAGTTCCACTGAAGTGAGGAACAGCAGCGAGGAGGAATTGTTTGTGTTTCCTCCCCCACATCTGCTCCCAGCTGCTGGGGTGCCAGGACACCGCTGATTTCCAAGGCCCAGGAACTGCTGCAGCTCCCGTGGCCCTGATTTAGCAGTGCTTTTTAAGAAGTGCTATTTTTATATAGTGTTTCTTATGCTAAATTCAGCCTGCTGATTAGAGGGGTAAAGCTGCATTTGTTTTCCTTTGTTAGAACAGGGTATAATTTGCACGGAAAAGTTCCTATTTTTAAAACAAAGGAAATCCAATTGTGAAGTGAATTTATTTAAAATGCAAGAGTTTCTGAGTAGCTCTTCCTTTACCTCAGGAGTGGTCCTGGAAAACACTCATGTCTGGTAGTTTCTCTGTAGGAATTAATTCGTTTTTAAGTGTTAACATCAGAAAATGTCCAGCCACTTTCCTGTGCTGCTTGCTAACATGTGCTTCGCCATGGCACTTGAGAGGAAGGATCCAGAGGAAATAGTAAAACACCTTAAAAAAGTAAGACATTCTGGTTTGTTCGTTTTTCATTGTGTGCAATTGTTTTCTACTAACTTACCAAATGTGATTTATTGTAAGTGCACATTGGAAGCTGTGATGGTGCTGCACGAGCTGAGCCCTTCCTGGGAGGGGAGGGGACATTCAGCATCTGCCCTGGTCCTGCTGGGTCCTGCTGGGGCAGGACAGGGACAGGGATGGGACAGGGACAGGACAGGGACAGGAGCAAGGACAGGAACAGGGACAGGGACAGGAACAGGGCAGGCAGGAGCACAGCAGCTCTCCTGAAAGCCATCCTCCTCCTGCCCAGCTCCTCTCTGCCCTGTTGTGCAGGCTGTGCCTCTCAGCCCAGCTCTGTTTGCCCTGGGGATGTTCTCCAGTTGTACTGTTGGGGAGAGTCAGCTTTGCCTTTAAAATCCAGCTCTTGGAGGAAATACAAGATGAACTGGAGGTGATGAACCTGCCCTTTGAATGAGTCATTTACAGGGCCAAAATACATGAGAGAAGATCAGAAGATTCTTAATTTTCTTCTTTTCACGTACCCGCAGCCTACAGGTGTTCCCTTTGCTCCTGATGAACCCTGTTTGTGCATCAGCCAAACAAAGAGCTCTCTCAGGGGGTTACAATCAGAATGTTCCAGTGCAGCCCTTCCAGGGCACTGGCAGCAATAATTCTCCAAGAAAAAGAGCTGCAAATAAATGAATAGTGTACAAGATTTTTTTTTTTTTAAACAAAAATAATTGATGGATGAGCAAACTAACACACAGGGCACCAGATGCCTTTCTGCAGGCAATGGAAAACCTTGTTACCCAGACAGTGGTGCCAGATTGTATTAAATCCACCAAAGCCATCCTCCTGCTGGGAATGTTTTAGTTAGTCCTCACATCCATAGGAGAGTTTTTACTTTTGCTCTGCTCCAAGCACACATTTATGCCTTCATTTCTGCACTTTAAAAGATGCAACTTATACATAAGGTAACACAATTTATTGTTGATGTCTCTCAGATATTGAAGTTTTCGTAGCTGTTTCTTTATTAATTGTCCCATGGTCTGTGAGGCATGTGCTGGTGTGTGAGCCTTTAAATCTGCTCTGGGCACCCCGAGAGCAGCACTGCTGGGGTACATCTGGGAGGGCTGGCAATCTTCTGATTGAGTTTGCTCTTCACATTCCAAAAAGATCATCCTGAGCGTTGTTTCCTTAACTGAACATGCCTGAAGCGTTCCGTGCACCCAGCAGGAAATTAAAAACACCCATGAATTATTTCTGATCGCTCAAAGGCAAGGCCAAGTGTTGCCCACCTTAATGCAGTTTTTGGCAGAAACAAGCAGTGTTTTCAGAGGCAGTGTGTCATGTGTGTAAGGCAGGGTGGAAAGGTCACAGATTGCTCAGCGTGACTGATGGCAACTGTAATATGAAATTTAATTTAATATGAAATATGAAATTGAATTTAATATGAAAATTGAGATACAATCTCCAACAACCACCTTTGGGAACTTGTGCAAAAACAAAATGGAAGTGTCAGAGGATGCTGCTGGCTCTCCCTGAGCTCTCTTTCGGTTTGAGTGACCTGACAAAGCATTTCCACCCTGCTGGTTTGACCTTTGACTGCATATTTGAGTTTTATTTACTGATCTTTTATCCAGCTTACATTGCTGTCTAAATACATAAAAATATATTCCTGAGGCTGCAGTTAATACCTTGATCTTTAGGCACAGGTTCCTTACCTTCTGACTTCCTGCATTTCTGATTGCCTGTCACTGCAGGACAGGGCTGCTGTATTTGTGTTTGTGTGTAATGCTTGCATATTGTGTTGGATACACTGTGCAGATGTGTATATTTATATATATTGTGTATATATTGTACTGTAGTGTGTATTAGAATGTGGCTGTTTACTCAGAAAGAGACATGCACTACAGGTAGGGTGAAATGTGTGAATGTGAAAGTGTGTACATGAGTAACATTCCAGTGGCTGGCTCTCTGCCCTCAGAATGCCTTCTGGACCCCTAAATAATTGCTTTATTTCCTGGGAGTTGTGTCTCTTTCTCCTCCCAGCTCTGGGAGAGGTGAGGCAGCCAAGTCTGAGCTCTTTGTTACCTCCACAGGGAGATTTGTGTTATTATTTCTGTAGGCAGCAGGCCTGTGAAGCCAGGTCATCTCTCTTTGCTTGCACATCTTTAATCAGATCATCTGCTGAAAACATGGGGGTTTATGGCAGAGCTGCCTGTAATTGCAAATTAATCTGGAGCTTCTGCACCTTCCGTGCCTTTGGCTCCGGGCCTCGTATTGCTCTTAATAGTGCCTTAATTCCAAATAATGCAGAGGCACGGCTTCCTTAAGCCCTTAATGGGATGTGCTGTAATGGAGATGCGGCCTGTGACGCTTTGTTTCTGTTCCAGGAGAAGGAGCTGAAGGATGCTGAGCAGGAGGAGAAGGGCGTGAGGCTGCAGGATGCCAGCGTGTGCCCCCGAGCCCTGCAGCGCTGCCAGGTAACGGCCCAGCCCTGGGGGCAGGTCTGGGTACCAGCCCTGGGTACCAGCCTTGGGTACCAGCCTTGGGTACCAGCCCTGGGTACCAGCCCTGGGTACCAGCCCTGGGGGCAGGTCTGGGTACCAGCCCTGGGGGCAGGTCTGGGTACCAGCCCTGGGTACCAGCCCTGGGTACCAGCCCCAGGAACCAGCCCTGGGGGCAGGTCTGGGTACCAGCCCTGGGTACCAGCCCTGGGTACCAGCCCTGGGTACCAGCCCCAGGAACCAGCTCCAGGAACCCTTCCCTGGGTACCAGCCCTGGGTACCAGCCCTGGGTACCAGCCCTGGGTACCAGCCTTGGGTACCAGCCCCGGGTACCAGCCCCAGGAACCAGCCCTGGGGGCAGGTCTGGGTACCAGCCTTGGGTACCAGCCCCAGGAACCAGCCCCAGGAACCAGCTCCAGGAACCAGCCCCAGGTACCAGCCTCAGGTACCCAAACCAAGGTACCCAAACCAAGGTACCAGCCCCAGGTACCAGCTCCAGGTACCCAAACCAAGGTACCCAAACCCAGGAACCAGCCTTGGGTACCAGCCCTGGGTACCAGCCTTGGGTACCAGCCCCAGGTACCAGCCCCAGGTACCCAAACCAAGGTACCAACCCCAGGTACCAGCTCCAGGTACCAACCCCAGGGGCACCTCAGACCCCACTTTCTGCTCCCCCTGCTGCTCCTCCACGTGGAGAATGGCAGCTGAAAATAAATCACAGCAAACTGCCTCGGGAACAAATGGGATTTCCAGGTGAATGTTGAGGGTGCTGCTGGGCTGGAGGGAGGCACATTGTGCCTCTGATGTGTATTTTCTGAGTATGGTAAATTAGGCTTTGGTAAAAGACTTTTTTGGTCATTTTGGTGAGACTCAGTTGAAGAATTCTCTACTTTTTCTGGAGAATTCCTATCCATCAGTTGGGATTTTCTCCTACCCCTGTGCATCTTAAAACTGCAATTTTAAGTTTCTCAGTAAAACATTGAAAAGCTCTTGTCCAGCAGCAAATGCCCCAAACTCTCTTTAGCAGTTATTTCCCCTGCCACATGGAACAGTCTCAGCTATTCCAGGTCCTGAGAGAAAAACTATTTTAGCAGTAAATATTTTTGCTCAGTTGTTACTTGTGCCTGCTGGGACTGAAAGGTCTCTCTCTGCCTGCAATGTGAATTTATCTCTGGCAAATCCTGCATGGGGTGGCTGCTGGGAGGAGAGGCTGATGTGCCCCACTCAGCACATCTGCATTCAGAGGGAGAAGCATCATGAGCCAGCCACTTCACAGGGC